AGTGCAAACCAACAAACACGGTAAATATATTCTTTGCTATGGGAAAGGTGAAACCCCCCAGAGCCTATCAGCCAGTTAGCTCTGGGCAAAGTTTCTTTCCAGCCCTGTTAAGTTATAGCAAAGGGTGAGGAACCACACAGAAAATAAACCCCGCAAACATGGGGTGGGAGAGTGGGCCTTTGCTGAGAGTTGCTGAATGCCAAGTAGAAAAGAATAAAATTCCAGTAGCACCTTTAAAAGACTAATGAAATTTGTGGCAGGGGTAGGAGCTTTTGTGAGTCACTGCTCACTTCTTCAGATATGTGGTATTTGAAGAAGTGAGCAGTAACTGACAAAAGCTCATACCCCTGCCACATATTTTGTTAGTCTTTAAGGTGCTACTGGACTCTTGCTCTTTTCTGCTGCTGTAGACGGAATAACACGGCTACCCACCTTGAATGTGAAGCATCGCTTCAGCCTGTTCCTTTCAATCTGAGCTGCATACCAGAGAGAAGCCTGCAGCCAGCAGGTCTTCATGCCCCGCCCACTCCGTGATGGGCTGACCTCTGGGGGGGGGCACGGGAAGTTGAAAGCCAGTGCTAACCCAACTGTCCCAAATCATCCTTGCTCCCCCCTCCTCCTTCCACCCAGGCACAGATGCCCCTCCCCAGCCCCCAGTCTTTCCATAACAGCCACAAATCCATCCATTCTCACAGGTTTAAGCCCACAAAGAGTTTTCTCAAGACAACTTGCTTCAGACTATAATATTGTAACCACACATCTCAAATAGATTTTTACTTCATATTAATGTTCTACTTCAGGAAACAGGTTCTGCTATGAACACACAATTATTTGCTAGACACATAATGTCTAAATGTTACTGCACACAATTTTTCAGGTGGTTTTATTACCTTTCCTGGCTCCTATTTTAAAAATGGATCAGGATCAATATTGCTAAGAGGGTGATTCATGACTGCAAGCTCGAGTGGGCATCATTTAGCATCCAAAGGGATTTACGCCTGTCTTGCCTAACAGCTTAATCTTCGGCTTGCTAAAAATGTGGCTCTGGGGGTCCAGCCATGGAGCCCTTGCTTACCCCCTTTCCAGTTTTCCACTACAATGACTGGAGAATGTAAGTGAACTGTACAAACACCAAAGGGCACAAGAGAACTTGTAGTTGGGGAAGGATTTGTTAATCCTACATCTTTGCTTTGCCTGCGTGCATGCAAGCATTTTGGGCCATTTATTTTGCCTTTGAATTGGATGGCAGGTTTACCAGAAGGTGATCCAACTCTTGTGGTGGACTGGCCATGAACCTCACCCTTCCACTGGAATGGGTGTGTGTGTTATATTTCCATTTTGTGTGATCCATCCCATTTTTTTAGGAGAGTTGTCTTTTGTGCCTATTGGCCTCCACATGGAGCATGCCTGGCAACATTCTGTGAGCCATGTGGTGGAAGAGGTGATGTTTTGCCCACTTCTCCACTTCACAAACTGGACTGCAATCTGGTCCCATAGTGGTTAATTACTCCAACAGAAAACTCTGTGGTTCTAGTGCTTTAAAAAACTACATGGGGAAAAATTGACAGCCCTGTTGCAATGACAAATATTTATGTACTACTAAATACACAATAACCAGGAGTAGGAGCATATCACAGTAACCTGTTTTCATGTTTGGCAGTTGAATAAAATGAGTGAAACACAAATAGGAAAACGAACCTTTTACATAAATAGTGTTTATCAGATTCTTTAGTTTTCTTCTCAGTGTTGCTTTTCTGTTCTTTTGGAATACGAAGGCTGCAATCACATGTGCCTTTAGATCCAACATAGATGCGAATGCCTGATGGATCTAAAGGGAGTGATCAGACAGCAACATCTGGGAAGCGTCCCACAGTTGTCGGCAACCCGTGCTGCTCTGCCACAGAAGCAGAGTTAAAAGGCACCAGGGAAATTCCAGTAGTAAACGGGTTCCAACGGGCCACGGAGGGACTTTCCCCTGTCTGATCACTCAAGCACGCTCTCATGGCATCAGGATGGTCTGATCAGGCCATCCTGCTTTGGTGCTCTCTTTGCAGTATGTGCACCATTGCATACTCCATAGGGGGCATTCAGTGTAGAGGTGTGATTCCTCACTTATGTGCACGGGAAACATACGGCCAAAAAAACCCCACGACTCACCCGCAGTTGCATCTGATCACACAGTGACGAGCTGCACCTGCGCCTACAAAGGAAGGTGTGATCTTGCAACTGCGTGTCAAATTCCTCCGGAGGGAATAGCCTCACTTCCCCTCCGGTTCAACTGGCGTGTGTGACTGCAGCCCAATTGTCTTTTGCATTGACCAAGGACTTCCATGTATAGGACTTGCAATACTCTTGTTCTGATGTTTTAAAGAGGCTGCTAACAGCGATTTAATGGTACAGTATAAACCTAATTCCAGAATGGTAGGAGAGTTAGTGTGTTGCAGAAAAAACCCCTGAAGTCCTGTGGCTCCTTAAAGACTAAATTTATTGTGGCATTTATATGCTGTTTTCCCACCTTCCCAAACATGGAGGCTCAAGGGCTGTTTGAGCTCACTTTGTCAGATGCAAGAACTGTCTGTCATTAAGGTTTTTTTTCTCATACAGAGAAAAAAATGTGAACCATGGGCTAATGGGGCATGGTTTGGGACATTTCTGTGTGAAACCTGCAAGTACGCAGCCCGATGCATGCTAACCTGACAGTATGTCCCTGTGGGACCTACTTTTGCACAAACATATAAAGGATTGCACTGGCTGGGAGTTGGGTGGGATCCTGCTTGCCTGTCTTGTATGTGCATAGGCTTGGCAATACATGGTCTTTACCCCCTGATTTTGCTATGTGAGCATTATTTATTATTGGGTGTATGCACATACGTATCACTTGGCAGTGGAAAATGTTGTCAAGTCACAGCCTACTTATGGTGACACCACAGAGTTTTCAAAGTAGGAGACGTTCAGAGGTGGTTTGCCATCAGCCTCTGTACAGCAACCCTGGACTTCCTTGGTGGTCTCCCACCCAAGTACTAACCAGGGATGGTTTTGCTTAGCTTCTGAGATATGATGGGTTCGGGTTAGCCTGGGGCATCCAGGTCAGGTTTTGCGTTGTGTACATGGTCTGTACACAAAAGTAGGCAAGGCAAGCCACATTTCATTCCCCCACCACAAACTGATTCTATACTTGTGATGCATTGATTGGCTTAACAGATGAACAAGGCTTCAGTTGGATGCTTATTACATTGATAGTAAGACTGTAACAGAAGGAAAGAACCTGGCTCAGATTCTTGAGCAAGACGTAAGGTAAAGGGTTGGCTCCTTGTCAAAAGCAGAGCATCCTTACAGCTACCTCCAGTTTGGATCCACTGTTATGAGAGCCAGGTCTACACAGACCCTATCCATGGTGAGGTCTCCACAAATTGCTCCATTGTGTGAAAATGGTATATCTAGACATATGAAGCTGCCTCATGCTGAACCAGACCATTGGTCCATCAATGTCAATTTTGTATTATCTGACTGGCAGCAGCTCTCTAGAGCAGAGACGTCAAACTCATTTGTTATGATGGCTGGATTTGCCATAAATATAATTTTGTGGGGGTGGGCCATGTGTGCCATAAGATGTAATGCCAGATACCGGAGATATAAATTTTATAAAGGACACAGGCAATCCCAATTAACAATATTATCTTTGTACTCAAAATACAAACAAAAGCAATTGATGCCTAGCAGTGAAAGCAATTGATTTACTGAGGAGCCCACAAAAGCCCCAATAAATGTATTTAATCATATGCAAGACTAGGTTTTTTCCAAGGGATACCATAAGAAGGGGAGCACCTTATATTCCCATACATACCAACTGCTTGTGGGCTGGGTAAGAGCCCAGGATGGGCTGGTCCTGGCCCCTGGGCCTTATGTTATAATAAATATAATAAATGTTTGACACCCCTGCTCTAGGGTCTCAGTTGGCGGTCTTTCACATCATCTACTACCTAATCCTTTTAACTGGAGATAAAAGGGACAGAACCTGGAATCTTCTGTATGCCAAGCAGATGCTCTACCACTGAGCCACAGCCCTTGAATTTATCCCCTTCACGAAATACCAGGGAGGTAGCAAGCTGTTAAAACTGAATCCATTGCACTGCTGTATGAACCATAAGAATCAACACTGCAGATCTTAATATAATGGATACAGTACAGATGTGGCTGATTATGTATAAATCTTCTGCACAATAGCCCCAATCCAGTACAAATTTAATTTTAGTGGCTATAAACTGCACTCATTCCTGGATGCAGCTAATGCAGGGCTATACTCAAACTTGATTGCCAACTGGGGCCATATTTCCAGATGGGGATTCAAAGACAGGAAAGGGGGATATGTAGTTTTCTCGTAGCTGGCAGAAATGTCTAGAACTTCACTTCTTCTTTGAGCCTGAGGGTTTATGCGTATTTTGGTGTCTATAAACTGCCACTGTTGGAAATACATTCTGTGCATCTTTGAACTACTGCTGATATGTGATACACACATGACTACACAGAACATCATATGCTTATAAGCACACAAAAGAACAAGACAGCTCTGTTTCTACTTTTTATATGTTTTATTATAAAGAAAGGTAAGATAAGCATTGTGAGCCAAATGTGCAGGTACTGTGAAACAGCACCATGAAGAAAATAAAAATAATAATAATAAAAAAACCACATGGAAAATGCACTTTTCATAAACTGTAATTCTGCTTTCTAATTTTTCATAAATAGACAAAAATCCTTGTCAGCAATTTTAAATAGATGGACATATGGCTGAAAAAAAATATAATAATGCCATATAACATGGATATAAATTGTCCATTTCTTGCTGTACAAATAATAGAAACAAGTTTGGCAGGGTTTCTTTTTATACACATCTCCATTCTATGTATAACTAAAAAAATGTGCTACAATTAATATAAAATGCTTTTACTATAAAGTAAACTACTAATTTTTTTCCACAAAAAATCTTAAAGATGTCTTTAGCACAGTTCTAAAACATTTAGTAAGCTACTTACAACTATCCAACAAATTATATATTTTTTCATGGTCTTTTTTTCACATTGTTTCGCTTTCTCCCATTTGCACTTCTGCTTCCCATCTGCTCCATCCTTCTAACAATAGTTTTTATGTTTTTATTTTTAATTTTTTTCGCCAGACGTCCGAGGCCTTTCGCATGTACAATATTCACACAGACTTCACATTTGTCTCGCACGAAGTTTAGTGCCGTTAGCAAGTCAAAAGAGTGCCACCTCCTCCTCCTCCTGCTGCTGCTGGAGCACTGTGCCCGGGTCTGTGCTGAACCTAAAAAGCAGTTCGCTAGGAAAATGGTCCATAGCTAAGCTGGTGGCAAGCAGAGAAAGGCGCGCGCGCAGAGTGGTGTGGAGTGTGTATGTGTGTGTGTGTGTGGGGTCCTCTGTCAATTTTGTTCTTCATGATTTATGCATTGTTGGCTTCCATTTACAGTAGACTTCTGTGAAGAAAGAGAAAGAAAGAGAAGAGGAGGGACGAGAAGAAGAGAAGGAAAGAAAAAGACTGCTCTCCGAGCCAGGATATGAAGCCAAAGGCCAGGTGCTCTCTTGCCCGGGTGACCTGCTTGATGCCCATCTGGGTAGCCTGTATTACAGACCCTCTTAAATGTCCTTCCTTTTCACCTTTGGAGAATGGAGATGTCAGGGTTTAAGTGAGGTAGAGCGACTTGTCCCTTGGCAGCATGCTGTAGGAGAAAGGAAAGGGAGTTTAAAGTGAGAGAGTGATAAGCAATTAAAAATAACAATAAGACAAGCACCAAGCCAGCAGCAAATCCATAAGGTCTCTCACACCAATGTTTTAGGGATAAAAAAGTGCTGAAAATTGAATTTTAATATGAGAAGGAACAATCCAAGACCTTTTCGGTAGCAGTACTCAAGCCATTAATACTTGCACACTGCAAAGACACCAGTGAGAAACTTTAAAAGGAGTTTTTAACATTCATAATAGCTCATGTCTCAAGGTGTGAACTGATGCCAGTAAAATCAATGGGATATTTGCCATTGGTTTCAATGGGATGTGGACTTTACAATATTCTGGAAGAATGAAGCTTTTTAAAAGTTGCCTTCTCAATGAACAGAGAGGCAGATACATTTTGTATTTGATAATTCTGTACTGGTCACATTTCCTTGTTAAAATTATTTCACCCACTGATTGGTTCAACCTTTGTCAGATGATGAATAGGCAAAGTAACAAAAAACTGAGGTTCAAATTCAGAAATTCCAAAGAGAATGAAAAATGCCAGTGAATTGACTGGTGTATTTATAAAAGCACATTAATATTGGAGTATAATTAATACAATGTATCTCAGATTCTTCCTACAGTAGATTAGTTTCTGATCTTTTTAAACATCCTTCCTTCTTAATAAAGTGGCAAAAGAGTTAGTGCACTCTTCTCAGAAATGGTATGAAGTCAGATACATGTTCAGTGCTTGGAACTCACTTCAGCTAGTTAGAGGGAGGACATCTGAAGTGAACACATGTGCAAATGAAGCTGCCTTATACTGAATCAGACCAGGAGCTGTTCAAAGTCAGTGTGGTCTCCTGTGACTGGCCACAACTATCCAGTTTCTCAAGAAGAGGTTTTCACATCACTACTACTTGATCCTTTTTTTAATGAAAGATGCAGGAGGCTGAACCTGGGACCTTCTGCATGCAAAGCAGATGCTTTGTCACTAACCATGGCCCCTCCCCCTTCATTTCTGTCATTTTAACCTTATCTCCTTTTTTCCCCAAAAAAGTTTTTATTGATATTATCCCATAACCCACACCCACATAACATACAGAAAATAACAAAACAATATCTTCCATAGATGGGCATACAGCCATCAGTCTTGCCTATGTTTATCTCTTAATCATCCCCTAACCCTTATACTTCATTTTCCACCTTATCTCCTTTTTTGAGGGAGACTACCTTGTTGGATCAGGGGGATGCTGTGGACACAGTGTATAAAATGTGGTTTGGATCCTATTCCTGATAAGTGGATTTGTAACTGGTTGACAGATTATACCCAAAGAGTGCTTATTAATGGTTCCTCATCCAGATCATGCAAAGGGATGGGATCACTTTACTCTGTTCTGGAGTATTGTCTTCATTTTTGGGCACTGTAGTTTAAAAAATATGTTGACAGGCTGGAATGTGTCCAGAGGAGAGCAACAAAGATGGTGAAGGGTCTGGAGACCAAGACCTATGAGGAAAGATTGAAGGAGCGGAGTATGTTAAGCCTGAGAGGTGATATGATAACCATCTTCAAGTATTTGAAGGGCTGTCATATAAAGGATGGAGCAGAGTTGTTTCTGTTGCCCAGGAAGGTTGGACCAGAACCAATGGACTGAAATTAGATCAAAACATTTTTTGGCTAAGCATTAGGAAGAACTTTCTGACAGTTAGGGAAGTTCCTCAGTAGACTGGATTTCTCGGGGGGGGGGGCTCTCTTCTTTGGATGTTTTTAAGAAGAGGCTAGATGGCCATCTGACAGCAATGCTGATTCTGTGAATTTAGGCAGATCATGAGAGGGAGGGTGGAACGAGATGAGCCAATGCTTGGCTCTTGTGGACCTTTCTGACATGCCCAAGGTAATGCCAATCGCCACTTTGGGGTCAGGAAGGAATTTCCAGCTCTGTTTCTATTTGCATATTATTGTTGCTTTTGTCACTATTGATATTATAATGAACAAAAGCAAAATGCTGCTTATGAGTCAGCTGAGATGTGTGTGAAGACCAGGCCTATAGACAGTAGAGAACAGGGTTGCCAATGTGGTGGCTGGAGATCTCCTGGGATTACAACTGATCTCCAGGCGACAGAGACTGGAGAAAACTGTGATAGAGAGTTGACCTGGAGAAAATGGCTGCTTTGGAAGGTAGACTCTATGGCATTGTACCCCAATGAAGTCCCTACCTTCTCCAAACTCCGCCCTCCTTGGGCTCCACCCCCCACAATCTCCAGTTATTTCCCAAGCTGGCAATCTTCGTAGAGAATCATGAGTTGTCTGTACATAGTCACATCTTGTAGTCCTTATGAGGCATGTTAAGGTAAGACCATCCACCACTGTGGGACAATTTTGCCTTCACCACATGGGACAAAGCAAAGGGGACATGAACTAACAAGACCAAGCTAAGCAAATTCCCTTGGGAGGTCATCATTTTGACCAAATATCTGGGGCATGTGATAGGATTAGGAATATGATGGCCTCAAAACCTTTCCACCCTGCCCCCCCCCATGTAAAAATACCTAGGTTTCCCCTAAGGATTTGGAAATGCCGAACAAACTCCCTCCTATGAAGTACTTGTGGAATAAGTGCGAGACTTTTTCAGACGATAAGATACTCAAAATGCTTTCAAAGAACTCTGCAGTATAAAGATTTTTATACTTTCAGCATGAGCGAGATGCTGATCTGCAGTTTTAGTTACTGCTTTGTGTGCCTCTGTATAATTTAACCAATTTATTATTAGACAACTGAAACTGGAATTAAACTGACACTCTGGGCAGAAAATTAAAATGGTGCCTCTTCTGCTTCCTACCTCTTAGACATTCTAGACTTCTCACAATGGGTTGCTGTAGTTTCACCTACTCAGGCCTTACTAATGGATTCTAGGCCCTAGAAATCCTCATATTTCCACCTGCTGCCTGTAGGATTCTGTCCGCCTCTTTCTCCTTGCAGCACCAACCCTCCACTCTTTATCCTTTAGCTCCAGTTGTTGCAGTGGAACACGAATAAGGGAATGTCCCTATCATATGCAGTTGCTGCAGCAAAAGTACAGCTTGCTAGAACTGCGCCATTCATGGCATTCAGCTAAGTTTGCCTAGAAATACTAGTAAAAGAAGCTAGCAATAATAATGATGCGGTAATCAGTGGAAAGTATCAATAGATGGCACAAGACCACATAGAAATAAGTATCCAAAGTTCTCATCTACTTTCACAGAGGGCAGAACACAATGCTAGTCTCCATACAATATTCCTATTTGATCAGTAGATCATTCACGCTCAACAGCCTCTTCACACTGGGTCCAGAAACATCTGTAATATGCCTAGAGTGTAAGGAGGACTATAAATGAAGCAAAATAAAATAAATAAAAATACTTTATCCTGTCTAATGGACACTTGGGGTAATTTCAGTCTATAGAGCCACTATGCAGCTTCCTAGTCAAAACCTCAGACAACAAACATATCTATAAATCTTACACACTAAAAGATGCTGTTATTCCATTTCAGAAAGCAACTGGATATTTCACCCTGCCATTGTTCAATGGCGTTGGAAGGAGAAGACATTGATTTACAGGGCTGGGCTTTACAACCCATAGATGTTATCACAGTAGTCCTGTTCACTGCATTGTTCAGACACTCCCCCCTTCCTCACTTTATGTGAGTTTGGAGAAGTCATGGGGTTAAGAAATAGCTGGCTACTGCCATTCCTAGTTTGGCTGCAAACTGTGGACTGACTAGCCTTTTCTAAATTGTACCCTGGGAATTTTGGAAAGATAGGCATAGCAGTGGTAATGTACTGAAAGCACTAATACATCTGTTTGCAAAAGACGTTGGCATTGTATCAATTCCCTTTTATAATCTCCTTATTTGTACTTTTTATAATCTGCGTCTAAAACACTCTGTCTTCCAACCTTCAGCAAAGATTTAATACGAACACAAAGTAGCAACATCTCCTAGTAGCAAAACTTCATTAATTTTACAAACTACTCTCCCAAGCACATTATGGGTATTACTATAAATAATTTAATCTAAACTAAGTGCATTCGCCACGTTTTATCTTTGCTTTTTTATGGTGTTTGTGCACTTACTCAAGTGATTTGGAAGACTGAATAATTTGGAAGGCATCTTTCAGTCTCCTACATGAATTAGCCCAGTCTGTTTTTGTTTGGACAAACTGACTGTCTGCAAGTCAGCAGGTCTGCGTGATTTGCTTTGCGGACTAATGCTCTGATGTTCAGGCTACTTTGTCAGAGTGCTTCCATGACCACGCTGGACTAAAAGGTTTAAAGAACATAGTTAAAGACTTTGATTAAGATGCCCAAAGAGGTGAACATACATGATAGCAAGGCAGAGTAAACAGCAATTAGCATGGAGAATATGAGGGACCTGCCAAGCATTCAGGAGTCTAATAAACAGAGAAGAAAAGAAATAGCCCTTTATAGTGCTTAATGTTGTAAAAAGAAAAGGTTCCAGTTCTCATATATAAGGTTGCACTGATTTCCGCCAAGGTAGCTGGTACTCTGTACTGGAGAGTACTGCCACAAAAAAACCTTGGCCCTTCAAAAGAAAGTATCAATAGTCCAGATGATTATCACTGGCGGATAAATTTTAGTAACAGTGTAGATATTAACAGCCTAAATCTTAAGATTTTCTAGTGCGCTTGGGTGTTTGGTATGGGGGCCTGATGATACTGAAACAGGGGCTGCAATCTGACAGGATGCTGTGGGGTTGGCTACAGGAAGACTGCAAGGAATGGTTCCTTCTCATTCCTGGAAAGTCATCTTGGCTGGCAATATCCCTAAAAATGTCTCTGCCTCACCTGTCAGGGCTGCTGTTTTAGTCACATCAGTGCAAGCTACTGTTTCTACTGATGCAGTCCCAGCTTCATGGGCCTGGCCTGTTAAAAAAAAGGTCCATATAATGAAAACTTACAATGAGTTTAAATCACAGAAATTGTGTGGCCGATAAATTTCAAATCAGGA